CGGTTTAAAAGTGCACTCTTTTGGTTAAAGGGTTAAAGGGTTCCAAAAGGGGATCAAAGATGAGGGAAACGTAACAAATATTGCTTTAATTTAAGGATAATAACTCATAGTCTTGACTGGTTCAAAATAACGTCAACATAATCCACGATAAAAAAGAAGTGACCAAAGATAATTTCCGGTATTGAATTTCATTGCAAAATGTTGCATAGTTGCATGGGCTCAAGTCGTTTCTTGAACCACCAGCATGACATCTCTCATTGGCATGTTGTAAAAATAATCACAAAACAACACTGAACTAATATATTTCTCATCGACCTCTTAAAAGTTATTTTGAAATCGAACATATGGACCTTGATTGTGTTTGGTTGTAGTTTCACGCCTCTCCCAGCAATAGTCCAGCTGTATGATGGCGGTCTGGAAATTATCGAGTCTGGACTAGACAATCCAGTGATTGATATTATGAGCATCGATCTACACAACTGGGATACGATGACATGCATCAGACAAGTCAGCTAGCCTGACCACCAAATCCCGTAAGTCGCCTCTTACGACAAGCATGGTCGCTTTTTGCGACAAGCATGGGTTGCTGAAGACCTATTCTTACCCGGATATTTACGGATGCCTAAGAACTCATTCTCAAGCGTGTCGTTCCCCCTTGGGAATTCTGGGTAGGGTCATCAATGAGTTGCTGATGAGTGAGCACTGGAATAAATTTCCCCAGCGGCGGGAAAATGGAGATTAGAAAATATCTTTTATTTGACGTCGGAAGCTGACACGCCGTGAAGGCCTATTCTCTCCCCGGATCTTCACGGTAACAGAACGACTTTCTACAATAAACATTTACTTTATTGATTAACAGGAGTTTAGGTATTTTGAAGTTGTGCTGGTGCAGCTGCTGGTTTGAACTATCTCCCAACAGCAATACACATTACGAAGATTCCGGGGTAGAATAGGTCTTCAGCAACCCATGCTTGCCGTAAAAGGTGACTATGCTTGTCGTAAAATGCGACTAACGGGATCTGGTGGTCAGGCTCGCTGACTTGGTTGATGCATGCCATCGACCCCAATTGCGTGGACCGATGCTCATGATATTAATCACTGGATTGTCTGGTCCAGACTCGATTATTTACAGACCGTCGTCATATAGCTGGAATATTGCTGAGTGCGGCGTTAAACAACAAACCAACAACAACAACATTACGAATCTCTATCTCGACCTGGCTTAACTGACCTACATTTAGGACTCTTCACAATCCAAGGCGTCAAGGAGTAAATGGCCAGGATGACAGTGCTGTTTACAAATTGTTTAACCCAGGGCACAACCCGGAAGTGTGGACGTGAGCCCCCAGGCACAACTCGTGATGCTGACAAAGCGGTTGGTGTATGTTTTACTGAATTGTGCGTGTTCTCAAATTGATAATTTTGTAAGGTGTTGTTCCGATATCGAACACAAACACAACACTTATATGGGTGATCGGCAGCCATTGTTTTATGCATCGGCAGATGGACTATAGATATATAGATATATAGATATACTCATACGCACTATTTTTGTGTGAAAGGCGTGTTCATGAAACGTCCTTTTACAATTCAGAATCAAGCATTTTGCAATGTCATGATAGAATCAATTGTACAATTATGTACATTAATTCAAATGTATATTGGTTATCGAGATGCGTGGTCAAATACATCCAATGGAACTCTTAACGGATTACAGAGCCCGACTACCAAACTGACCCAGCAGAGAAATATCAATGTTACATCGTAGATTTACGGGATGTGACAGAAAGTATTTTGTTTGTTTGTTGTTTAACGCCACACTCTGCAACACTCCAGCTCTATGACGGCGGTCTGTAAATAATCGAGTCTGGACCAGACAATCCAGTGATTAATAATTATCATGAGCATCGATCTACACATTTGGGATACAATGACATGCATCAACCATGTAAGCGAACCTGAGCACCCGATCCCATTGTTGCCTCTTACGACAAGCATTAGCTGCTGAAGACCTATTCTAACCGGATCTTCACGGGTCCGTGATAGAAAGTGAAGGGATGTAGGTTTATCACTGCATTGATCAATATTCCATACGACCACATGGTACACACCAAAAACCCAAAACAAAGCAAAGTGTAGATTTAAAGAGGTTGCTGTGCTTGGAAACATTTCATGGTGTGTAAGGATCAGTATTGTTATAAGGTTAAAAATGCATCTCAGAAACAAATGATAATAAATAGAACCCATTAGATATAGTTCGTGACAGAACTGGTAGTTGGAAAGGAATCAATAGAGAAAAGACATTTCACATTTATCACAAGTGTATTCTGGACATTTCACATTTATCATTGGATTGGTCTCTGGCTATTATCCATGAGTTAATGAAACAAATGGGAAATTACAAGGTATAATCCATTTGGAGCTTCGGAGCGAGTCACGAAATCAATAGAGAGATGAGCAACCTGGCACGTAGGGTTTTGGTATTTTTCCGATGGTGACACACATGAGTTCATGGTCAGATATAAACTTGTAACGAATCAAATGGAGGTATTGAGACATGTGACAAGGACAGGTCAGGCTCGAACACTATAAAATGATACCCTAAACATTAGGAGAGTGGTGCGCGGTTTACAGTCGATCGAGTCGAATCCCGATCGTTCTAAGTTTCCACCAGCTAGTGACGAGCCTGGCCAGTCTGATCCTGTTCTGTAGTGATAGATGGACTGAGAGTAAGTAAAACTATGTGAGTATAAACTGGTGTTGCGTTTCTTTATTATGCGGGTGTGAATGCTGATAGAGACAACTTGGAGTAAGGGTCATTAGGCCAATCACTCCGTGACGGAGCCGAGCCGTGGTGGACAAGGCGAGGGCAATGGCCTGGCTTAAGTGACCACAAGGACCAGGAACGGCAATACACTGAGTAACTGTAGCAGGGTCGCACTGGACCCCCGAAACCAGTTACGACAGTATGTACCACATGTGGTGTCTCCTTTGTTCGAAATGTGCCTCTGTTCACCCAGCAGTGAGTGGGTACCCGGTAGGATGAGATGGTAAAGTGGCTGTTAACCTTCTAGCGCCTCACAGGCAGCTTGGGTTGTATACTCCCCAGGGAGCTGAGAATGAAAATCGAGTGCTCACTGATCCATTGACCGGGGTAATAATAGTGTAGCGCTATGAGCATCCACTCGTTGAATGGAATCGGGCGCATTATAAATGCACTTATTATTATTATTATTATTATTTTTATTTTTATTATTATTTATTGTTATTTATTGTTATTATTATTTGTAAACTGTCGGGCAAAGGAAAGTATGCACCTGAGAATTGGATTTGACCCCAAAATTTCAAACGTTATTCAACGTTACAAGGCTGAAACACTACAAACTTAACTCCATGACACAACTACGTGAATGATACGGGTATCAAATACATCATCATCGAAAAAACATGTTTTGTTGGTTTAATTTTTAGCCTACTTTTTTTATCAAACATAGTGTACTTTCGTTTTCCCGGTAGTTTGCATATAGCAAACCTAACGACCGAAGAAGTAGAAGGACGTTGAAAAACAACATTTAAATCTGGTAAAAAACTAAATTCTATTTTGTTATGGAGGAGCATATAAATAAACATTTAAACCGAAAGGGAAACTCACATCTCACTGTCGATAATACTAATTGAACTAAACGCTAACACTTTTTAAAAACCCGGGAAAACAACGTTCAACTGTGTCAATAAAGAAAATCAATAAACGTAGTTTATGAAAGCAAATTTCTGTATAGTTAATATGTTTCGCATATTATATTTTTACAAATCGATTTCCGAGAAATCATACGTACGTTTGGTTTTGACAATTTAAAAAACTCAAAGAAATTCGAATAAATGTTGGCTGATCAATACCGTTTTGCACAAAAAGCCAATTGTACTTGGTGCTGCCAGAGAGACGAAGAGCGGTGGGGTAGCCTAGTTGTTCAAGCGTTTGCTACTCACGCCGAAAGCTCGGGTTCAATTCCCCACATTTCTGGTGTCTCCCGTCTTAATAGTTGTTGTTGTTGTTGTTTAACGCCGCACTCAGCAATATTCCAGCTATATGACGGCGGTCTGTAAATAATCGAGTCTGGACAAGACAATCCAGTGACTGATATCATAAGCATCGATCCACGCAATTGGGATCGGTGACATGCATCAACCAAGTCAGCGAGCCTGACCACCCGATCCCGTTAGTCGCCTTTTACGACAAGCATAGTCACCTTTTACAGCAAGTGTGGGTTGCTGAAGATCTATTCTACCCCGGAATCTTCACGGGTGCTCCCGTCTTAATAAGCGCCCTTATTTATAATCCATGCTTGACTTTGCAATTCGGAGTTTTTGCATTCATCTTAATTATTCGTTTGTCTTTGGATCACGGATGCTCTACGCGGTTACAGTCCTAAGAGTTCGGTTTGTTTGTTTGTTTGTTGTTTTACACCGCAATCAGCAATATTCCAGCTATATGACGGCGGTCTGAAAATAATCGAGTCTGGACAAGACAATCCAGGGATTGACATCAATAGCATCGATCTATGATATCGGGATCCGATGATATGCAATAAACAAGTCAGCGAGCCTGACCACCCGATCTCGTTAGTCGCCTCTCACGAAAAGCATAGTCGCCTTTAATGTCATCCATACTCGCCTTTTACGGCAAACATGAGTTGCTGAAGACCTATTCTAACCCGGATCTTCACGGGTAGTTATACCACGGCCGGGCTGCTTGCTTGGGGAGGAAAGCCCGAAGTGATGCAGGTCGCAGAGGTTTATCAGTTTGGGGAAACCCACGAGCACGGTTATCGTGCTTACAAACCTAGAAACATGATTGGGGCGAACCTGGATTCGAACACACGATCATAGGATACTAGGGCGCCTAAGGGATGCAACTCTGCACAGCGAAATGAGGCGCCTTAGACGACTGTGGAGTTGCCGATTGCGGCATTAACGAAAAAAACAAAGTAAAAAAAACTTACTCTCACACCGGGGAGCTCTTCCTGTGAGCACCGCCCCATCGGTACACAGCCGGGAGAGATCCCCAACCAGGAGGGCGTGGCCAGGAAGGCACGTGTAGGTCACCTCGACGTTATAGGCGACCTTTGACCCCGACTGCGTCTCAACGTTGTCACAAGACGAGGGTACAGGAACGTCACATTGGATAGCTGTATTCAGACGAAAGTGACAAAGTGAAGTCATGTTTATATCTGTGACGTAATTTATATGACGTCACGGTCTCATGGTTGTGTTTATTATTACGTCATTGCTATCGTGCCTTTACTGCATTATATGACTTTGTGTATTCAGTATGATAAAGATGGGCTCATTATTCACGTGATAATATTGTTTAAATTAATAAAACCACATGTATTTGTCGTGGTGTATACATTTTAAACTACAATGTTTTGCGTTAATGGCGGTATAGACGTAAAAACCGGCGCCCACGCTTTATACGCATACATCTCAGTAATAAAAGGCAGAACCTGTAATATTGACTTGAATTCACTTATAATAATGTCACCAATGATAAGTAAACAGACTGTTTATTTTAACATTTACTCAGGAAACACGCAGTAAGAAATCAGTGCCATTTTTCAGCGCAATGAAGCAAAACAAGTCCGGCCAACTATATTATCAGCCAATCAGGAAACAGTCGTCCGCGTGTGGGCGTTGCCTAACGTTAAGCTTTATGGAACCTTGACGTAAAAATGCATGGTTTGGCAGTCAAATGTCATTTGAATTATTTCAAATTTAATTAATCATAACTACAAACGCAGTCACGGGGAACAGTTGATATATATTAATTAAAAGATGAATCAGAAGGTAACATTTTACCTACAATCATAAAACGTGTTTTACTCAGATAGTTTGGATATTTTACGTCCGCTTTCAAGTGAGAAAATTGCTTCCCACTGGTCTGTGTTCAGAGTATTTAACTAAGCTTTTTCAAGAGCTGACGTTAATTTTTTAAAATTTGTAAAACAAACGACGTGCATACCGTGTAAATTCGCACTGCAATTACGTAAACTCACGTGCACACTTAGGCTGATGTCCGAGGAGGCTGCCCCCCTCAGAGCACAGTCTCATCACGTTGCCCGACTGTAGGGTGTGGCCCTCCTTGCACGTGTAGAGGACGCCGGTATTGACTGGAATCTCACTCGGGGAAGAGTGAACGACGTTGTCTTCGGGAGCAGGAACGGGGACGACACATGACACCTCAGTCCGAAGCGTACCATCTAAAGAACATCAGCGTACAACCATTATTATTAAAGAGGTGTATGGATGAGAAATGCGGGTGAGATCGGTAAGATTGTGCTCTTGTTTGCTTTATTATCAAGTTTACAAATTCTTGTGGAAATTAACACAGTTACAGTACTGCATGCATGTTACATAGTACTGCATGCATGTTACATAGAACTGCATGCATGTTACATAGTACTACATGCACGTTACATAGTACTGCATGCACGTTACATAGTACGGCATGCATGTTAAATAGTACTGCATGCACGTTACATAGTACTACATGCACGTTACATAGTACTGCATGCATGTTACATAGTACTGGATGCAGTTACATAGTACTGCATGCTAGTTACATAGTACTACATGCACGTTACATAGTACTGTATGCAGGTTACATAGTGTTACATGCACGTTAGATAGTGGTGTATGCAGTTTACGCAGTACTGTCAGCACGTTACACATTTCTGCATTCATGCTACATAGCACTATATGTAGGTTATAAAGTATTGCATGCATGTAACATAGTACTACATGCACGTTACATAGTACGGCATGCATGTTACATAGGATTGCATGCATGTTACATAGTACTGCATGCATGTTACATATTTCTGCATGCACGTTACAAAGTACTACATATACGTTACATATTACTGCATGCATCTTACATGATAACCGTTTATTGTGCGAGGAAAGACCAAAGTGACGCTGGTCGTAGGCGTCTTGTTCAAACAAAGATAAGCCGCCGGCAAATCAAACTGCAGGGCAAAAGAAAGTATACACTTGGAAATTGGATTTGACGATAAAGTTACAAACGTTATTAAAACGTCAATAATCTGAAATCTCTGCAAACGTAAGGTCCAAAACACAAACACAACTATGATACACGTGTCAAATAATACTCGTCGAAAGACCATGTCTTGTTTGTGCGGATTTTAGCTACCATCCAATTGTATATACTTTCTTCAGCTCGTCATTTGATCATATTCGGGGTGAACATGGAGTTTAAAGACATGATCAATAGTGTATGTTTGTTGTTGCGCAGTCAGCAATACCCAAGCTACAACACGACGGCTTGGAAATACCCTGGACATGGCAAACCGGTGATTGATATTATGAACAACATCCCACACCGTCGTAGTGCGCTGACACGCAATTCCCCGAGCCTGAGCCGAGCTATTTAGTCGCTTCTCACGACAAACATAGGAGGTTTGGGACCTATTCTTACAGGAATCTACCAACAAAACAGATGTCAGACTCCGTACACACCTGTACATGGTCGTCTACAAATATGTTAGAAGTGCATGAATGCTCTGTGTTCTAAGCCGCTCCCGGAGAGCAAGACTTCTAAAGATGGAACTTGTTGTTACCCTGTCTTGTGCCCGGCATAAATGCGCTAAGACAAGGACTGGTCGGCTCGGAGTCAGTATACTGTATCTGATATAGGTATTCATTACACAACGGCATGGTATCTTAGTGGCTGAGCACTATAAAACCGGCGTTAGTCGGGTCTATAGCTAGTACAAGCAGCCACAAACACGTGCATGCACGTCGGTGTATAAGTGAAAGTAATGTTGAAATTGACGTTAAACCTCATTTCACCACATCTCAATGTTATGTAGGTACCTCCACAACGGAGCATCGTCCCGGAGAGCGTGCCATCACTGTTACACACCCTCCTGGTGTCCCCGGACAGGACAACATAGTCATCAGAACATCGGAACACGGCTGTCCCGCCAACGGTCAAGCCGCTTTGACCAGTCAATACTTCAACGTGGTTTTCTGACGGTGGGGTTGGCACCGCACATGTCGTTGCTGGAAGCATAACATTGACCACTGTATGCACTACTTGAGACATAAGACATGCTCAATTATCATATGATGGATAGTGTTGTCGATGTAATATCTGTTTGGTTTGTTTGTTGTTTAACGCTGCACTCAGCATTATTCCAGCTGTATGACAGCGGTCTTTTAAAAATCGAATCTGGATAAGACAATCCAGTGATTGACATCATAAGCATCGATCTACACAATTGGGAGACGATGACATGCATCAACCAAGTCAGCGAGCATGACCAACCGATCCCGTTAGTCGTCTCTTACGACAAGCATAGTCGCCTGTTACGGCAGACATGGGTTGCTGAAGACCTATCCTTCCCCGGATCTTCGAGGGTCGATCGAAGCAATAAGAAAGTACGATAAGCTTGGTATCACGATCCGGTATGTTCATGAGGTCACCTCGCAAGAACTACATTTAAGCTCCGTACATCGATGCAATATCTGCTCGCGCAATAAAATATTGACTGGTTTTGCCAATGAGTTGAGATAGGCTCCTCCCAATGTGCAGCTGATTCTGTGACAACTATAATGTAAATGGGGTGGTTCACTCAAACACTGAATTAATACGTTGTTACTTAAGTAACTTTATGAAACAAAATTGTGTCTTGAACAACGATCATCTCAAGAATGACATTAAATGATGAATAGGTTATTTACCTAAGTTATTTCACATATTAAAACAATATCATAACCAAACAAATATGTGTTGTGCTTACCAAAGCCTCGCAAATAGATTCCCATTTCAAATTATAAATATGATACACACCCAGCCATTAATCTCTAGTTATATTATCAATAATAAAGTATCATTTAAAGTCATATCACCTCCATGCAGAAAAGCTGCTACCAATGTTAGACTAGGTCAGTCAAAAATATAATAAAAAAGACATTTATTTTAAAATTGAATGGGAAGGGATAGATGCTGATATTATTCAGTTTCCTTCATTTCCCTTGTGAGATACAAATCTGTCAAACTAATCTTGATTCGTGTGTGCCACGTCACCCTGTTCGGCCACGCCGCTGGCGTCAAGAGACGGACCCGAGCCTAGGATGAGAGTGGCTGTGTAATCCTACACATCTGACACACTTGAAATCAAATAGCGTGTGCAATCCGATGACGAAACTAAACTTAACTTGAATAAGTGCTTAAAAATACGAGACAAACTACTCAAAAGAAGTTAAGGACCATCCCATTCTTTCGTAAGTGCTTAACAGTATCTATAAAAACATCCAGGGGATGGGTAATGAGAAACAAGATATACTACTCAAAGAAGTTAAGGACCATCCCATTCTTTCGTAAGTGCTTAACAATATCTAAAAAAACATCCAGGGGATGGGTAATGAGAAACAAGATATACTACTCAAAAGAAGTTAAGGGCCACCCCATTCTTTCATAAGTGCTTAACAATATCTATAAAACCATACAGGGGATGGGTAATGAGAAACAAGATATACTACTTAAAAGAAGTTAAGGGCCACCCCATTCTTTCATAAGTGCTTAACAATATCTATAAAAACATCCAGGGGATGGGTAATGAGAAACAAGATATACTACTCAAAAGAAGTTAAGGGCAACCCCATTCTTTCATATTACAATAGTTAATCAGCCTTGCCAATGATAGTAATATGAAAGAATCGGGTAGTCCTTAACCTCTTTTGAGTAATATATTAATGTTATTAAGCCTATATGAGACACTTGAAATAAAAGTAAACTATTTAATTTGAGATTATGAAAGGGACACGGTTTAGAAGCTAATTCAAAACTACTCATGCTAAGTCTGAATTGAAACCAAAGAATATGCCAGAAGGTGGATATCAGTTGATGATTCTGGGATAGCATTGCGAGACTTTTGTTGACGTACAACCATCTTGGCCTGCTGATGTAGTCAGTTAGACATACCTAGATGGCAGGTAAGGCCACAGTTCCTCTGTCCATCTTCTGTCTGACAGTAGGTCGTTCCCGTGGAGAGACTTACACAGTCAGGGTTACTGTCCTCCAACCGTCCTGGAACAGAGACTAAGCATAAGCAGGGGTGGAATACTTAGTAAAATCTAGGAACAGAGACTTACACAGTCAGGGTTACTGTCCTCCAACCGTCCTGGAACAGAGACTAAGCAAAAGCAGGGGTGGAATACTTAGTGTAATCTAGGAACAGAGACTTAGCATAAGCAGGGGTGGAATACTTAGTGTAATCTAGGAACAGAGACTTAGCATAAGCAGGGGTGGAATACTTAGTGTAATCTAGGAACAGAGACTTAGCATAAGCAGGGGTGGAATACTTAGTGTAATCTAGGAACAGAGACTTAGCATAAGCAGGGGTGGAATACTTTGTATAATCTAGGAATAGAGCACTTAACATATAAGCAGGAGTCGGAATACTTTGTATAATCTAGGAACAGAGCACGTAGCATATAAGCAGGAGGTGGAATACTTTGTATAATCTAGGAACAGAGCACTTACCATATAAGCAGGAGGTGGAATACTTTGTATAATCTAGGAACAGAGCACTTAGCATATAAGCAGGGGTGGAATACTTTGTATAATCAAGGAACAGAACACTTAGCATATAAGCAGGAGGTGGAATACTTTGTATAATCTGGGAACAGAGCACTTAGCATATAAGCCCGAGGTGGAATACTTTGTATAATCAAGGAACAGAGCACTTAGCATATAAGCAGGGGTGGAATACTTTGTATAATCAAGGAACAGAGCACTTAGCATATAAGAAGGGGGTGGAATACTTTGTATAATCTAGGAACAGAGCACTTAGCGTATAATCAGGAGATCGAATACTCTGTATAATCAAGGAACAGAGCACTTAGCATATAAGAAGGGGGTGGAATACTTGGTATAATCAAGGAACAGAGCACTTAGCATATAAGCAGGGGTGGAATACTTGGTATAATCAAGGAACAGAGCACTCAGCGTATAAGCAGGAGATCGAATACGTTGTATAATCTAGGAACAGAGCACTTAGCATATAAGCAGGAGGTGGAATACTTTGTATAATCAAGGAACAGAGCACTCAGCATATAAGCAGGGGTGGAATACCCCTCAAAATCTAGGAACAGAGCACTTAGCATATAAGCAGGGGGTGGAATACTTTGTTTAATCCAGGAACAGAGCACTAAGCATAACATAAGCAGGGGGTGGAATACTTTGTATAATCACGGAACAGAGCACTTAACATAAGCAGGGGGTGGAATACTTTGTATAATGTAGGAACAGAGCACTCAGCGTATAAGCAGGAGATCGAATACTTTGTATAATCGAGGAACAGAGCACTTAGCATATAAGCAGGAGGTGGAATACTTTGTATAATCAAGGAACAGAGCACTTAGCATAAGCAGGGGTGGAATACTTGGTATAATCAAGAAACAGAGCACTTAGCATATGAGCAGGAGGTGGAGGTTGCCCGACTAATGGTTGGTATGTCCTTGTTGTGATCCTTTTGATCGGGGAATTTTGTCATTGGCACTATACCACATTAAACCTTTTCATTTTTCACCTCTTGGTACGCTAATTGTGCTTTTATGGTATATTGTTAAGGGACAGAACATCTTGCATAAACAGGAACTCTTGATCAGGAGGAACAGAACCTTGTGTCAATGGAAAAAGAACACAATGTATTTAGAAGGGAACAGAAAACAATGTAGTTGTAGGGAACAGAACACAATGTATTTGTAGGAAACAGAAAACAATGTAGTTGTAGGGAACAGAACACAATGTATTTGTAGGAAACAGAAAACAATGTATTTGTAGGGAACAGGACACTCTGCATAGGTGGGGAATAGAACACCTTGCATAATAATAGGAACAGGTAACAAAAAGATAGTCTCTTCAGCACATAAACCTTAAGTACATGTAAAGTTCCAAAAGAATACCCAGAAGAATTCTAAGGGGGATAAGAATGTTCTTCCTCCTAAATTCCCGCCTTACCACTACAAACTGTGTTCAGGGCTGACCACTGGCCTGTGGAGAGGCAGTATCGGGGCCTGGTGTAGCTGCTGCTGTCACACTTGTAGGTCACTTTACTTCCGATCTCGTAGGAGCTGGCGAGGTCTTCAATTATACTACTTCCGGCGATGGGATTCGGCGGTTCACACGAAGCTGAAGAAAAGAGATGGACTATGGTTTGTTACATTTTGACTCGAACGTTCGATCCTGATTGGTGATGTGGTTCAGAACTTCCTAGTGCTGGTGAAGGATTTGTGATATGGTTCAGACCTTTGAAGTGCTGGTGATTGATGGATCATATACATGGAGGCCAGATCAGTGTTTTGGACAACTGTGGTTCAGATCTGACGTTACACTGATGTATGATGTGGTACTGGTCTTACAAGCGACAGTTAACGTGATGAGTGCTTTTGTTCAGATCTTAGTAGCCTTTGTGAACATGATGTGAGCTGTGGTTCAGATCTTATCGGTGCTAGTGATTGCGATACATAATATGGTTCAGGTGCCGGCGATTGTGAAGGTGATGCACCTACCACATTGGTTCAGATTTTATCGGTTCAAGTGACGGTGATGGATAGTATGGTTCAGATATTACCATAGCTTGCTTCAGTGATGATCGTACTGATTCACAGCAAAAAAAGTGTAGGTTTCCGTCTTCCGGAAACCCTCCAGATACCTTCAGCAACCTTCAAATTTCTTGGTATTTTCCAGATAATTTTTTTAATGTGTAAACCTAAACTTTTTTGCTGTGATTGGTTCACATTTTACATGCACTAATGACTATAACAGTGATAGATGATATGGTCTCACCGGCACTTGTGACTGTAATTGGTGGTATATTACAGGTGAGGCGACACCCATGCTGGCCCTCAGGTGTGGAACAGTATCCAGGATTTGCAGCCAAAAGATCGGAACAGTCGTCAAAGGTGTCGAAGACCCGCCCTGGAGTGATAATGTGCTATGTATTGGGAACAAACATATCAGGATTCAAACAACTTGGTGAGGTGAGGTGAAATGGGGTTTAACGTCGCGTCCAAGATTTGTGCACTTTTATAGCGACGTGCATGCAAGTGTGTGTGTGTGTGTGTGTGTGTGTGTGTGTGTGTGTGTGTGTGTGTGTGTGTGTGTGTGTGTTTGTGTGGCTGCTTGTACTAGTCAGGTCTGATGCCGATTTCATAGTGCTAGCCTACTGAAATACCATGCCGCAGTTCAACATGAATACCTCACTCAGACACAGTAAAGTGACTCTGAGCCGACCAGTCCTTGTATTAACATCCTTAAGGTCGAGCACCAGACAGGGTAACAACAAGTACCATCTTTTAACGTATTTTGGTATGACGCCGCCGGGCATCGAACCCCGGGTATTCCGCTCTCCGGGCGAACGCTCTTCCACTAGACCACGGAGGTGGTCACAACATACTTTGATTTTTTTCGACATATACACGATACAAAACAGAACTCAGAACAACGAGTTCTGCCGGACGTACCGAAGCTGCATGCGTCGCAGTATTTGATGTCACAGCCGGTCAAGCTTCTACCAGTGTAGCACCAGGGACGGGCGTGGGTTCTCCCAGGGTTTCGGCACGCGTTCCCCGAGTAATCAGCTGGGAGAACACTGTCAAAGAAAAAGCAGCAAATGTTCCCTTGTATGCTTCTACTATCCCAGGTTAAATAAAAGACATTTTTCAGTGACTGTCCTAAACGATCCCTGAGTCAAGATCTGAGGACACCTCTACAGAAGGTCGCGGAAGGTGAAGGCTGAGCAAACTCTGTATGTCCAATCTAAGAGAAGGAAGTGTGGATTTTTGAGCCAATCAGCTGTTAGTTTTCTGAAACGATTCGACTTCATTGTTTTACCACCTCGATTCGGTAATTTCGACTTGGAAATGGTTAATAAAATGTGACGTTCATACACAAGAAACTATATCATGTATACTTCACAAAAATTAATTTTACTGTTAGATTGATATGTAAGTCAGGAGCAAGGCACAGCTTGAACGACTTGAAACAAACGTGCTGTACTGCCTGTTTCAGAGTCTATTCCGACGTTAACAGACCGTAAAGACACGGGCTAGAAATGGCCTTCAGCAACCCATGCTTGTCGTAAGAGACGACATCGGGTAGTCACGGTCACTGACTTGGTTCATGCATGTCGTCGTATTACAATTGCGTAGATCGATGCTCATAATATCAATCACTGGATTGTCTGGTCAAGGGTAGATTATTTATAGACCGCAGTCATATAGCTGGAATATTGAGTGTGGCATTAACAACAGCAACGAAACTTCAAAAGACTACTACAAGTATTATATACTACTCAAAAGAAGTTAAGGATCATCCGATACTTTCATATTGGTAATGTTAATATGTCATGGCATGAGAGATTAACTATTGTAATATGAAAGAATCAGGTGATCCTTATCTTCTTTTGAGTAGTATATTACATTATAAGCACTTGGGAACAGTCTTATGCATCCCTTTTATTACCTCATCTCAAAGGGACTGAAGTCACACCCAATGGCATCCGTCCACTTCAGACAAGCAGAATTATCTTCCGCTCTGTTCACCTCTCCGTTGTAGGTCTCGCCTTTGTCTTTAACACTATAGCAGTATTTCTCCGCTAAAAGACAAACAATTCGAGCGTTATTCAATGTTAAACGTTATTAAAAAAATAACTATGCAAGAGACAGAGTTCGGTCGATTGCAGGATTTGCACAGCATCTGCGCAGCCAGGTCCTTTTCAACAGATATTTTCCAAATCTTTTCAAGTTTTTAATCAAGGTGATCATGTGATTTGATGTACTTTGCGATGTAAGACCCGTTTTATCGCAAGATAAATCTTGATTGTCGATCAAATCGTCTTGACTGGGCACCGCCATTTTGTTTGAAGCAAATGCAAGTGATACGAGAGGTGGAATCTGATTGGAGAGGCATAGAAGGGACATAACTCGCAACAGCCACTGGTGGCGCTACGATCGAGCCCAAGAGTTCAAGCCTAGTTCGGCAAGGCAGGAAACTGGACTTTTATAGTCAGTTAACTCTTTTGCCTCGGGGGGATGACAACGTCCGCGTTAGAACGTGGTATGACTATATTGTCATACAGGTTATATTGACACCTTATGTACAGACGTTGACCAGGAGTGTGACTCTATCACTGACGAGAAATATATACATCTTCTTAGGACAATTCCTCATATGGATCTGTCTCTAACCTTTAAAACCAAAGATCGACCATTGGATATTCGGTGGATGGGTCTGAGGGAAGGGAGGCAGTGTCACATGACGGGTGTTTCAGTGTGAATCGGTTTAACTAAAATTAAATAGGTCATCTGAGTGAGTGAGTGAGTGAGTGAGTTGGGTTTAACGCCGCCTTTATCATTATTCCAGTTATATCACGGCGTGTCAGCTTAATGTGGGAGGAAGGCCCGAAGTGATGCAGGTGAAACAAACGAGCACAGATATGGTGTTGACAAACCTAGAAACATAATCGGGGCAAACCGGGATTAGAAACCACAATCATAGGTTTCTGGCGCGCCCAAGGGACGCAACTCTGCACAGCGAATCGCGGCGCCTTAGACGACTGGGCCTCCCGTGCCCCCAATAGGTCAAAAGCTCAGAAGTACAGAACACAGTGTGCTGGCTTTATTCCTGGTTAACAACATACCCTGTAGAAGTCTGACCGACGCCTGGAGCTTGTCCGACGCTGAATTGGTAGTCAAGGTCAAGATAATAGAGTTGATCTCCGATATTACGGTTTTCTCATATCCATAGCCGCATAATCTGAAAGTATATACGTATATAAAATATATACACCTTCATACTTCGTGACAAGATCACAACATGGTCACGAAACAGTTAAATATAAATATACATATATATAAGTGTATATATATAAGTGTGATATATATATAAACATACACACACACATATATATATATGTCCAATACAAAAGTCCAAAGATGAGCTGTATAATTTACTCAACCGGTTTCACGCATGTGATTTTCAAGAGTACGGTTATATATATTCTCTGCGTAAAGTGTCAGGGGTATTTGGAGAGTGCTGAACAAAATGGCTGAAGAAAGTAAGAAACATGTGATGACGTAATCTCGTGGAGTGCCAGCAATTCTTGTAAAACAAATCCACTCTTAGTCATGGTTGTCTATGAGCACAAGGATCTGCTGACTTATTGCAATCCAATATTCTCCCAAATTTCGAAAGCTGGTTTGTCAATACCATGCCCATGCTCGTAAGTTTCACCAGAGGGGTCAAGGTCAACGTTAATTTTCAACCCACATTAAACGGGCATGTAGTGGGATAACTAAAAGAATATAGGCGTTAAACCGTCTCCCTGTGGATCTGACCATGACATTGAATTGCCAACGTCACATACCATCACATCTATCGGAATTGGATTGGCAATGTTAAACAACATCACATACATGGGGGACACAATTTATGAATAACAACTTTATTTTCTGTAAAGGCGGCGTTCCGGCTTGACAACGGTATGAGGATGTCAACCGAAACGTGTCCTTTGCAGTAAATAAAGAAGTTGTAATCCACAAATGTCTACTTTGTCATCCAACAACTTCTAAGTAATGCCACTAAAACAAACTACCGCTGATATTGAAACTGGATCAGCAATGTTAAACACGGTCACACACATTATAAGTGGATCAGCAATGTTAAACACGTTCACACACATTGAAACTGGATCAGCAATGTTAAACACGTTCACACGTATTGAAAGTGGATCAGCAATGATAAACACGGTCACACATTAAAAGTGGATCAGCAATGTAAAACACGGCCACACACATTATAAGAGGATCAGCAATGTTAAACACGGCCACACACATTATAAGAGGATCAGCAATGTTAAACACAATCACACATTATAAGTGGATCAGCAATGTTAAACACGGTCACGCACATTATAAGTGGATCAGCAATGTTAAACACAGTCACACACATTATAGGTGGATCAGCAATGTTAAACACGGTCACACACATCATAAGTGGATCAGCAATGTTAAACACAGTCTCACACATCATCAACAACCCCTTAACCCCCCTCCTCTCTCCTCTCTCCGCTCACTCAGGTGAAACTTACACTTTTCCAGTAACTGTGGGATGGCCGGGGTTGAGGGTGAGTATGGATGTGCAGCCTTCGCGGGTCCCCGCCACCTCCAGCTGCAGGAAGTCCAGAGCAATCTTGGAACCAGGCGGGCTCTGTGGAGGTTCAACATCCACTACAGGTTTTGCAACGTGTACATATATTACCGTGTGCCTTTGTGGTCTGCTAATATAACACACGCCTATTTAATCCTGTGAATCACATAAACTTACTCCTGTGACTCATATACTTACTCCTGTGACTCATATACTTACTCCAGTGATTCATATACTTACTCTTGTGAATCACATATACTTACTCCTGTGACCCATATACTGACTCCTGTGACTCATATACTTACTCTTGTGAATCACATATACTTACTCCTGCGAATCACATATTAAATGAGACGTACCCTGACAATCCACTGATACGTTGAGCCAAGTTGCGGGTTGGTGAGTTCGAAGGCGGCTGTCTGAGTCTCCAGGGTCAAGTCTACGAAGACGCCGTGTACTGTGGAGACGGAAAGAATAACATAGGATATCTGGCGACAACACAGTGACACGTATTTCATTGGGTATCCTTCTGTGTCACTGTAAAGCATCGTATTGCATGTACTATACCATTATGCTGTATTTAAATAGCATTATATGGCCAAGTAGCATTGTATAACAACCTGAAACTATGTCAACACCCCCTACAAGTATTGAACCTGAACTGAACGCTATAACACTGTGTTCAACATACCCGCCGACACTGTGTTCAACATACCTACTGACACTGTTCAACTTAACCCAGATCACTGGATTGTCTGGTCCAGACTCGATTATTTACAGACCGCCGTCATATAGCGGGAATATTACTGAGTGCGGCGTTAAACAACAAACAAACAAACAAAAACATACCCTCCAGACACTGTTCTACATATCCTACATACACTGTGTCCTACATAGCCTACAGACACTGTATTCTACAAAGCCTACAGACACTGTGTTCTACATAGCCTACATACACTGTATTCTACAAAGCCTACAGACACTGTATTCTACAAAGCCTACAGACACTGTGTTCTACATAGCCTACAGACACGGTCTACATATCCTACATACACTGTGTCCTACATAGCCTACAGACACTGTATTCTACAAAGCCTACAGACACTGTGTTCTACATAGCCTACAGACACTGTGTCCTACAAAGCCTATAGACACTGTGTTCTACATGATGCATACGACATGTGTTCAGCTTACCCGTGCTTAAGAAGTCTCCACACTGTGTCCCGGGGTCCAGTCCATCGATGCAGTGGCACACGCAGTTGGTGTCGTGCACAATGGGGAATCCGTCGTTGTGGCACGAAAGGTCACAGCCGGCTAGAGATGAATTTATTAACGTCTTTATGTTTCCGACAACTACAGAAATATGAGGAGATGAAAAACTTTGTCGTTTGGTATTAAGACCTTTGTTTCTAAATATTTATGATTTTCGAGCTAATTGCTCTGCACTTTATTTGCATTTATATGTTTCAGTAATGTTTGTTTCAGTGCCAGTACTTTGTAACAACAGAAGAACGTTCCTTAACAGGGTTGAGGCGCAATACCACCTATCGAATTGGTAAATTACTCCATAGCACCATATTGTGTCTTCGTCAGTGGTTACTGTAAGCCGAAGTTGAATACGATGTTCATTACGTTGATATTTCCTGACCGATATCAAAACTGTCGATTGATTCAAACATATATTTAGTGTCTAATATAAATACGTGTCAATGTATTGAAAATTTTGCCTATGCTGTATATGCCTCATCAATATGATGCGTAGATATTGGAAGTGTTGAATCGTAGATATTGACAGAGTTGAATGGTAGATTTTGGCAGTGTTATAGTGTTGATTGTGGGACATTCGAAGTGTTGACCGGTAGCTATTGGCAGAGTTGATGAATAGATATTGATAGATATATACTGGCAGTGTTAGAGTGTTGATGAGTAGATATTGGCAGTGTTGGAGTGTTGACATGTAGATGTTGGAAATGTTGGAGTGTTGATATGTAGATATTGGCAATATTGATGTGTTGATATGTAGATATTGGCAATGTTGAATGGTAGATATTGGCAATGTTGAAGGGTAGATATGGCAGTGTTGGGGGTTGATATGCAGATGTTGGCAGTGTTGGAGGGTAGATATGGCAGTGTTGGAGGGTAGATATGTAGATATTGGCAGGGTTGGAGTGTTGATCATATGTAGATATTGTCAGTATTGGAGTGTTGAATGGTAGATATTGGCAATGTTGGAGGGTAGCTATTGGCAGTGTTAAATAAATCTAGAAATCTACCTGTACAATTGTAGACTGTGTTCACTTCTCTCAGGCTGTTCCAGTACTTATCGCTGTCCCCGAACGACAGGTAATCCACGATGGGGACAATGGTTCGGAAGCCATTTGACGAGGCGCTCTGAGAACAGAATGTGACGTGATAATAATACCAAAACCGTTACTGCGAGTTCCCTTACTCAAGAACAGCGTTAATACATTCATACCATCTGACGGTTAACTAAATGTCATTTAACATTCTTAAGTACTTTTGGCCTTCAGTTTCTTTCTGTGAAAGGAGGTGACAAATAACCTGTTTGGATCGACATCTCGTGTAATATTAGTAAAGCCAATGGACATTTTTTGTTGTCAAACCTAAGGCAAAAGTTACAGTATTTCCGGAACAAATTGCCAACAAAAGCAAATTCCTCTGACTCACTCTATAGCTCACTCTCGAGTGTACACAATAACTGTCTCTCAATTCCTCACTGGCGCTTTTATTCACTCTTGTGTCTACACTTACAACATCCAATCACTCACTCACTCACACGCCCCTTTTATTCACTCACTCACTGACTGACTCATTGACTCGAGAACATACACAAATGCAATCACTCACGCACGCACTCAGGGACGTACGTGCGATTCGTAGTGCATGATGGAGTCAGCTGAATATGTTCCATGAAGCTTGTCGGATTCAGTAACCTTTTCGAAGTTCCGCTCCTTCCCTGTCAAAAACAAAACAGTAGAATTTAGCCACCTCTGATGTCCTCTCCAGTGCATTCAAAGATTCAACTTATACAAAATTGTTGAAATGAAAAATACCTTAACAATGATACTAACATTCTGTTTTCAACGTATTCCAGCGTAACATTGTGGCTACAAAGTTGATTAAAAACCTTGATAGCGTGAAACCAGATTTTGTTATGTATGTATGTATGTGTGTGTGTGTGTGTGTGTGTGTGTGTGTGTGTGTGTTTGTGTGTGTGTGTGTGTGTGTTTGTATGTATGTATATATGTAAGAATGTGTGTGTGTGTGTGTGTGTGTGTGTGTGTGTGTGTGTGTGTGTGTGTGTGTGTGTGTGTGTGTGTGTGTGTGTGTGTTTGTAGGTATGTATATATGTAAGAATGTGTGTGTGTGTGTGTGTGTGTGTGTGTGTGTGTGTGTGTGTGTGTGTGTGTGTGTGTGTAGGTACGTGCTTACGGGTGTAAGTATATATCTATCTACTAATATATTTATTTATTTGACAGATCGTGTGACGTACAATTATATACATGAGGGTAATCAGTGCACAATTTCCCCATATTGTTCTACCCACTTGTCAACTGTTGCACTACCAATCTACTTAATTACCTTCTATGATGTTCCCGTACTTGACGTGAATGTAGTTGTCTCGGTCACGATGACTCTGCTCGTGAAACACACCCAACGCGTGGAGGACTTCATGCAGGGCGGTTTTCTAAAGAGTCAGTGAATGAATGTGGTTCGTTTGTTTGTTGTTTAACACCGCACTCAGCAATATTCCAGCTTTATGACGGCGGTCTGTAAATAATCGAGTCCGGACCAGAGTTGCGGCCCTTGCGCACGCCAGAAACCGAGTGTCGTGAGTTCGATTATGTTTCTAGGTCTGTCAGCACCATACCTGTGCTCGTGGGTTTCAATAAAAGTGGATGGTCATGATGTCAATCACTGGATTGTCTGGTCAAGACTCGAATGCGGCGTTAAACAACAAACAAACACACCAACAAACAATAAAAGTGGTAAACGTCTTAGGCTTGCATTGCTTCGGGCTTCCCTCCCATATCAAGCTGTCACGCCCTGATATAACTGGAAAACAGTTCCAAACGGCGTTAAACTCACTCACTCACTCACAGACGCTTTACCTCTTGTTTGCACGCTGAGATGTCCTGTTCCCCTGATTTGGCTCGGCCAATGTACGACCAGCACCTGCACAGAGATCATTGAGGGATCATTGATTGTTTTCTTTTGATTGTTGCTTAACGCCGCACTTAGCAATATTCCAGCTATATGACGGTGGTCTGTAAATAATCGAGTCTGGACCAGACAATCCAGTGATTGACATAATGCGCATCGATCCACGCAATTGTGATACGATGACATGCATCAACCAAGTCAGCGAGCCTGACCACCCGATCCCGTTAGTCGCCTCTTACGACTAAAAAGAACACAGTGGGGAGACAATTTCATATTCTGTTGGCTGGGTTCGATGTGGGTCTGACCCGTGAAGATCCGGGGTAGAATTGGTCTTCCGCAACCCATGCTTGCCGTAAAAGGTGACTATGCTTGTCGTAAAAGGCGAGTAACGGGAACGGGTGGTGGGGCTCGCTGACTTGGTTAATGCATGTCATCGTATCCTAATTGCGTGGATCGATGCTCATGATATTAATCACTGAATTGTCTAGTCCAGAGTCGATTATTTACAGACCTCCGCCATATAGCTGGAATATTGCTGAGTGCGGCGTTAAACAACAAACCAACCAACCGACGATGCGGGTCTGCATGGTGGTGGGGGTAAGGGTGTGGTTTTGGGAAGACCATTTCATACCCTTTGGTTTGGGTTCACTGTGGGTCTGGGATGGGGTGGGGTCGGGTGGGGGAGGGATGGTGTGGAGGTGATTTGCTGCTGGCAGAGACCATTTCATTTTCTGTAGGTTAGGTTCGATGTTTGCGTGTGTGAGGGTAGGGGGAACGGGCGTTTGGAGTTGGGGGCATAACTGTAGGATTATTTCACTCATTTACTGATGGGGCCAAAATACGAGGGATGGAAGTGGCGGCCACATAGGATGGTTGGGAGAGGCTCCAAACTACAAAGGAGCAGTGGAGTGACCTGGGGACTGTAGAGGGGGAGACTGTGGACTGCAGAATACAAAGCCACAGTGACGCGTTGACAGAGGAAATCAAACAGGGGGGTTGTTGAGGAGGAACCTGCTACACAAGAATATTTAGTAATGATACCTGCACTACACAACCACATACGCTGAGTGTAATACATTGAAAGTAGCTTGCAGCCATTGGTTCAAAATAATAGATTGATGACACAGCATTGGTGGTGTGGTGAAGGAGGGATTGAAAGGAAAAGAATCACGTCTGGATGCAGGGACCGAAATATATTCTCAAACCAAAATACCAGCCAGACAATCAAAAGCGTTGATGTGAAGTCACTCACCCAGAAGATTTGATGAAGTTAAGATACGATTGATGAGTAACACTGAATTCGGAACTCTGGGAGTTGATGTCGTAAAATTTGATACACGTGTTTTCTTCAATCAGCCTCATAGACGACTGAATGACGACCTTGCCCTCTGTTGCTAGAGAACAGATAAACATGGATGGTAATTAGCAATACATTGATAATAGTAATACCCATCTAACAATGATCTAGGATTCTTGGTCAGGTTTGAAATGTTAATAAAATGTTATTCATTTATTATCTTCCCTGATACACGGGTCAATCCCGTGCACTTTAACGATACCTTTTCTGGTGAAATGGTCCGGATGAAAAGTACTATAACGCGCAAATGTAGATGAAGAAAATACAAGACAATTAGATGTACTGTACTATAACGCGCAAATGTAGATGAAGAAAATACAAGACAATTAGATGAACTGTACTATAACGCGCAAATGTAGATGAAGAAAATACAAGACAAATAGATTAACTGTACTATAACGCGCAAATGTAGATGAAGAAAATACAAGACAATTAGATGAACTGTACTATAACGCGCAAATGTAGATGAAGAAAATACAAGACAATTAGATGTACTGTACTATAACGCGCAAATGTAGATGAAGAAAATACAAGACAATAAGATGAACAGTACTATAACGCGCAAAAGTACATGAAGAAAATACAAGACAATTAGATGAACTGTACATTAACGCGCAAATGTAGGTGAAGACAATAAGATGTACTATACTATAACGCGCAAATGTAGATGAAGAAAATACAAGACAATAGGATGTACTATACTATAACGCGCAAATGTAGATGAAGAAAATACAAGACAATAAGATGAACTGTACTATAACGCGCAAATGTAGATTAAGACAATAAGATGTACTATACTATAACGCGCAAATGTAGATGAAGAAAATACAAGACAATAAGATGTACTATACTATAACGCGCAAATGTAGATGAAGAAAATACAAGACAATAAGATGTACTGTACTATAACGCGCGAATGTAGATGAAGAGAATACAAGACAATTACATGTACTGTACCCTAATGCTCAAATGTAGATGAAGAAAATACAAGACAATTACATGTACTGAACTATAAAGCGCGAATGTAGATGAAGAGAATACAAGACAATTTCATGTACTGTACCCTAATGCTCAAATCTAGATGAAGAGAATACAAGACAATTACATGTACTGTACCCTAATGCTCAAATCTAGATGAAGAGAATACAAGACAATTACATGTACTGTACCCTAATGCTCAAATCTAGATGAAGAGAATACAAGACAATTACATGTACTGTACCCTAATGCTCAAATCTAGATGAAGAGAATACAAGACAATTACATGTACTGTACCCTAATGCTCAAATCTAGATGAAGAGAATACAAGACAATTATATGTACTGTACCCTAATGCTCAAATCTAGATGAAGAGAATACAAGACAATTAGATGTACTGTACTATAACGCGCAAATGTAGATGAAGAGAATACAAGACAATTACATGTACTGTACCCTAATGCTCAAATGTAGATGAAGAGAATACAAGACAATTACATGTACTGTACCCTAATGCTCAAATCTAGATGAAGAGAATACAAGACAATTACATATACTGTACCCTAATGCTCAAATGTAGATGAAGAAAATACAAGACAATAAGATGTACTGTACCCTACTGCTCAAATGTAGATGAAGAGAATACAAGACAATTACATGTACTGTACCCTAATGCTCAAATCTAGATGAAGAGAATACAAAACAATTAGATGTACTGTACCCTCATGCTCAAATCTAGATGAAGAGCATACAAAACAATTAGATGTACTGTACTATAACGCGCGAATGTAGATGAAGAGAATACAAGACAATTAGATGTGCTGTACCCTAATGCTCAAATCTAGATGAAGAGAATACAAAACAATTAGATGTACTGTACCCTCATGCTCAAATCTAGATGAAGAGAATACAAGACAATTACATATACTGTACCCTAATGCTCAAATCTAGATGAAGAGAATACAAAACAATTAGATGTGCTGTACCCTAATGCTCAAATCTAGATGAAGAGAATACAAGACAATTAGATGTACTGTACCCTAATGCTCAAATCTAGATGAAGAGTATACAAGACAATTACATGTACTGTACCCTAATGCTCAAATCTAGATGAAGAGAATACAAGACAATTACATGTACTGTACCCTAATGCTCAAATCTAGATGAAGAGAATACAAGACAATTATATGTACTGTACCCTAATGCTCAAATCTAGATGTAGAGAATACAAGACAATTAGATGTACTGTACTATAACGCGCAAATGTAGATGAAGAGAATACAAGACAATTACATGTACTGTACCCTAATGCTCAAATGTAGATGAAGAGAATACAAGACAATTAGATGTGCTCTACCCTAATGCTCAAATGTAGATGAAGAGAATACAAAACAATTACATGTACTGTACCCTAATGCTCAAATCTAGATGAAGAGAATACAAGACAATTAGATGTGCTGTACCCTAATGCTCAAATCTAGATGAAGAGAATACAAGACAATTAGATGTGCTGTACCCTAATGCTCAAATCTAGATGAAGAGAATACAAGACAATTAGATGTGCTGTACCCTAATGCTCAAATCTAGATGAAGAGAATACAAGACAATTAGATGTGCTGTACCCTAATGCTCAAATCTAGATGAAGAGAATACAAGACAATTAGATGTGCTGTACCCTAATGCTCAAATCTAGATGAAGAGAATACAAGACAATTAGATGTGCTGTACCCTAATGCTTAAATCTAGATGAAGAGAATACAAAACAATTACATGTACTGTACCCTAATGCTCAAATCTAGATGAAGAGAATACAAGACAATTAGATGTGCTGTACCCTAATGCTTAAATCTAGATGAAGAGAATACAAAACAATTAGATGTGCTGTACCCTAATGCTCAAATCTAGATGAAGAGAATACAAGACAATTAGATGTGCTGTACCCTAATGCTCAAATCTAGATGAAGAGAATACAAGACAATTAGATGTGCTGTACCCTAATGCTCAAATCTAGATGAAGAGAATACAAGACAATTAGATGTGCTCTACCCTAATGCTCAAATCTAGATGAAGAGAATACAAGACAATTAGATGTGCTGTACCCTAATGCTTAAATCTAGATGAAGAGAATACAAAACAATTACATGTACAGTACCCTAATGCTCAAATCTAGATGAAGAGAATACAAGACAATTAGATGTGCTGTACCCTAATGCTCAAATCTAGATGAAGAGAATACAAGACAATTAGATGTGCTGTACCCTAATGCTTAAATCTAGATGAAGAGAATACAAGACAATTAGATGTGCTGTACCCTAATGCTCAAATCTAGATGAAGAGAATACAAGACAATTAGATGTGCTGTACCCTAATGCTCAAATCTAGATGAAGAGAATACAAGACAATTAGATGTGCTGTACCCTAATGCTTAAATCTAGATGAAGAGAATACAAAACAATTACATGTACTGTACCCTAATGCTCAAATCTAGATGAAGAGAATACAAGACAATTAGATGTGCTGTACCCTAATGCTTAAATCTAGATGAAGAGAATACAAAACAATTAGATGTGCTGTACCCTAATGCTCAAATCTAGATGAAGAGAATACAAGACAATTAGATGTGCTGTACCCTAATGCTCAAATCTAGATGAAGAGAATACAAGACAATTAGATGTGCTCTACCCTAATGCTCAAATCTAGATGAAGAGAATACAAGACAATTAGATGTGCTCTACGCTAATGCTCAAATCTAGATGCAGAGAATACAAGACAATTAGATGTGCTGTACCCTCATGCTTAAATCTAGATGAAGAGAATACAAAACAATTAGATGTACTGTACCCTAATGCTCAAATCTAGATGAAGAGAATACAAGACAATTAGATGTGCTGTACCCTAATGCTTAAATCTAGATGAAGAGAATACAAAACAATTACATGTGCTGTACCCTAATGCTCAAATCTAGATGAAGAGAATACAAGACAATTAGATGTGCTGTACCCTAATGCTCAAGTCTAGATGAAGAGTATACAAGGCAATTAGATGTGCTGTACTGTTGTCGCCAGAATGCGTCATGAAACAACATCTTCTCACTCATCGAGTTACTTACGCACAGATGAAGTTATTGCATAGGGTACTATTCCACCCGTCCAGAGGCGCCACGTGGTCGTCGTGATGACGCGCTTGCGACGTCTGTGCAGTGGGGTAGAGGCGTCCAACTCAACTGCCTGCGATGTGAAGGGTAAGCATAAATATCGCATAAGACCATTCCTGATGATGCAAAAAAAACAAGTATGGGTTCTGTCATTTTCGTTGGTAGCATTATTTTAATTTTAATTCCTCTAAAAAGATTTTGGTTAAACGACGACTTATTAAATACGTAGCCTTGAAAATAGCTTCGTCGTTCTGTCACTATCTACTGGTGTGTGTGTGTGTGTGTGTGTGTGTGTGTGCGTGTGTTCTGTCTTTATTAGGACTCTATCACACCCACACCAGTAGATAGTGACAGAACGACGAAGCTAACTTCATTTTATGCAATTTGTTTCATGACCCACACAACAAACGACCAGTACCTAATATAGTGTTATAAAAATACATTTATACATTTATTAAAAAAAACCATTTTTTTCCTCTTTCTCTGTGTCAGTTTTTTACGACATCCCATTTAATCCCACTGTCAGACTGGGCAGACTCATCAGCCCCCTCTACACGTGCACGCAGCCCAGACAGCGAATGGGACTTCTCCCAGGAATCGTTGCTGAGTCGAACCCATCCAGAAGTTTTCTGAGTATGTGAATACTCCCCAACACTGCAGTCCTCTGCATTACCCAGATTGGTAGAAGGGCTGTATTCATGGCAGCAAACCCGGGAACTCTCCCAGTGTCAGTCAACAGATTGGGAGGTAACAAACCCAAGGCACCGTGAACAATGGGTAGTCGGACAACTTGGTACTTGGGATGCAAGCGCGACCTTTCGTAAACGAGGTCCGCATATTTGTCATGTTTGTCCAGAATCTTGTCAATCACATTGAGTGTCTAAAGGTTGGTTGGTTTGTTGTTTTACGCCGCACTCAGCAATATTCCAGCTATATGACGGCGGTTTGTAAATAAACGAGTCTGGACCAGACAATCCAGTGATTGACATCATGAGTATCGATCCACGCAATTGGGATCGATGACATGCTTCAATTAAGTCAGCGAGCCTGACCACCCGATCCCGTTACTTGCCTTTTACGACAAGCATAGTGTCAATAGGGACAGGTAAGGTGAGATGAAATGGGGTTGAACGTTTAAGATTGTTGCACTTATACAGCGACGTGCATGTGTGTGTGTGTGTGTGTGTGTGTGTGTGTGTGTGTGTGTGTGTGTATGTGTATGTGTGTGTGTGTGTGTGTGTGTGTGTGTGTGTGTGTGTGTGTGTGTGTGTGTGTGGCTGCTTGTACTAGTCCGGACTAATGCCGATTTATAGTATAATCTTGTAACGTCTTTTGGTAAGACGCGACCTTCCGCTCTCTCACGACCACTAGACCACGGAGGCGGTTTCAAAAGGGACAGCTAATTCAATGATATCAATGATTTCAACGGATTCATAAAAAAAGGACAGGGTCAGGTTTATTGGCCTGGACAGGTCTTTTCCAAAGAATGATGCCCTCTAAATATTTTGGGTCGTACCACGCATTGGCCTCTGAGTCAGAACCACAAGCATGACAAAGACGGTAATAAAATGATCGAGCCATGCGATCCTGTCGCAAAAGATACTGTGTTTGTGCCAAAGCTTGGCATCCACTGATAACGTATTTGGCAGTTTCATTAAATTCATTGTATATTCTACATTTCATATTTACAATTTGATGCAAAATCACACATTGACGGTTTCGAGTGGGAAGTGGCTGGTCCTGAGCAGCAAACAGCCTTCTGTTTCACCTTGCAAGCCAGCTGACTTTATCCAAGCGAAGGACTCTGCAGGATTGCTGATCTTCTCAACACACTACCCATAAAGTCGATCGAGTGATCGTTCAGATAACCTCTCCCTGAAAAACTGAGTGTGGGCCAATTTGATATGGCACTTCGCTTGGTTGATACTGTACAGCAGTACAGAAGCATCAACAAAGTCAACACTGCCCTTTGGATTATGTCCCACATACGTGGCTCGTTAAAGAAAACCGTGAAATGCCTTGTTTTCGTCATGAGTCTTGACGAAAATTAGTGTGTGCAAAAGTGCACATGACAATTCTATCATGAAGAGCATCAACGTTAATCAAACCACGTCCTCACATTATAATTGGCAAATAAAGCGATTGAGGGAAGAGCGAGGGTGGTGGGATCTATTGTCTGACTTGATTCTTCGTCTGAGGGTGTCAATACCCTGAATTTCCTGTTCGTCCAATCCACAACGCCAAAAGAATATGAAAGGACGGGTACAGCATAAGTCTTTGTGGCTTGAAATTTATTGCGAGCTATGAACTCCAGGTTTTCTGAAGTCTACTTTTGTACTCTGCCCGAAGTTCGTCGTTGATAATGGCATGAGGTGTAGTATTGTTCGACCTTTGCACCACCAAGGCGGAACATCACCTGTATCCACGAGATAATTTAAACAGTGAAGTTACGGTGTTTGGACACAGGGGAATAGTTTCCAATACCGTTTCGAATACCATCAGGCCCTGGCGCCGTATTAGATTTGGACTTTTTATTACGTTTTTCAGGCAATCTGGTGTAATGAAACACAAATGGTGACCTTATTTTTTCGTGTACACTTTCATTGTATTACTCCACCAATGGTTCTTCGAGGTACACACTTGCCGGGTGCAGACCACAATAGTTCAAGGTCTTTCAATAGAAGCCAAGGTCTTTAGTTATTATTTACATCTTACTGTCTGATCACTATGAGATATACCATCGTCAGGAAACTAGTGTCTACAATGCCATGTCTGTATACCATACCACGGTCTATGTGTAACTGTTTCTGTATCACCATTAGTTGTTCTTCACATGTACACATTTTTTGCTCTGCGAAATACGAGAGTGTACTTACAACCCATAGTTTAAGAGTAATGTGTGGAAGAAACAGGATTTGAAACAGAAGTTGTTCAGTGTGTGTCAACTCCTCAAGGTACATTTTGAAAACAGCAATATGTGCACATGAACACGTGCACATTGACACATGTTACCCAGGGTTGGTGTTCTTCATTTTCAATACGTGAGCAACCTACCTCTTGTTCAATCTCGGCCTGCTTATCTGCCCCTTCTCCATGGAAATCTGTCTCCTGCGTGATAGATTGAAACATAAAATGTTTATAATTTTCATATTTTGATATTTTAATGACAAGATGTTCATCATCAAGAATATCACAATTAGAATTTATTAATATTGAAAACTGATTTTTTTTTTAGATCGATGTATGAAGATTAAGTGTGACAAAAATATTTCCACAATACTGTATGACAAGAGGGATGATTTCAAATTTCCAACAACCAACTTTCCCTTTCTGTCGAGCAATATTCCAGCAGCGCCAGCCTTTGGTTTCTACATTTCACAACTTGTGAGACATGCTCTTTCCATGATGATTTCAAAGAGCATCATACGACTCTTGCCCAAAATTTGTTTGATCAAGGTTACAACATTCAAGGCCTCACGAAAACTTTCAAAAGTTTTTTTTATGGCAGACATGAGGACATTTATAAATAGAACGGAGAACTTTCTTTTTCAGGTGAACTATTACCTTGCCTTTTCATGTGTTTGTGACGGGAGATTGCTAATGATTATGGAATGAATTTTGTCGATTATAATTCAGTAAACTACCACGAAGTTATCAATTATTATTGGATATCCACTGTTTGGGTCTGAAGTTAAATTAACATTCCTTCAGTAGATAGGACGATTTCGTATTGTTTTCATATGCTCTTACCGACAGTGTAAACTTAAATTTGTTAACAGTGTGGACATATTCTTGAGGAATGGAAATATAAATCCAAGTTTGTTTTTTGGTATAGAATTGAAGAAAGAAGAATAAGAAATGATATGTCAATCCCACATTAATTATTAATTATACAAACAATTATGTTCTTTTCGTTTAAAGGTTAATTTAAAAGAGCAAGACAAAATAATCTGTTTATTTTCCTTGGTGCAATATCAATGTATGAAAATCAACATAATTAGCATTTGATTTTAATTATATTACATTCACAGGGACTAACTTATTTTGGTTTAAAAAATATAATACCAAACACACATATTGCATATTGTTTCTGATAATTATTGTGTTCTTATGTGCATTTGTATGCATTACATGTTCACGATTTCAAAAATGGGTATTCTGCACCAAAATTTCATTTCTTTTCAATTGTCCTACAAAACGTAAATGTTTATCTTCATGTTTGTGGGAAGGAGATCACACTAGTGTCCATATTGTTACTTTGGCCTAACGTCCACGAGTAGATTAATTGATGGTTTTCTGTAAAGCAATGTACTTTTTTTTTAAATCAGTTTTTTATGTTTATCTTAGTGTGATTCTATCATTTACAGTTACATCTACTCATGAACAAATAGATATGTGCACGAATTTTCTGTTACATTATATGTCCCTACTTTTACAAGCCATGTCATGTACTGTTACCGAAAAGAAAATATTCATTATAAAACAACGATGCTGAGATAATAAAATTTTATCATTGCAAATATTTGATGTTTGTTTTTACTTTACCTTCTCACTATGCAATATTCCAGCATTTTTGTCAGTTCATTAAATTCATGCAAGGTTCACAAGAAGAAGAATATAAACGACTAGTAAACTGATTTTTCTTTTTTCTTTCTTTGAAATCATACACGTTGTGAAATTGACTCGAACAATGTGTATGACACAACATTACTTTCCAACTTTAGACGCCAGGCATTGCTGCCAAATATAAACAGTACGCCTATCTCGAACTACGGATAACTTGACCTGTCCAGGGTTATTTCGGGAAACGAGGTCTCATTATATTTCGTAATAAAATTGAACAGAGACGATTGAAGAGAGTTATATGTCTTCTCAGATGCAGATAATTGTCCACGTACTTTTTCTGGAGAGACGACATCAACCCCTCCCTTCATAAAGTGAGGCGCCATATGTGCCAAGCCGTCACCCTTTAACAAACCAAAATGTAATAAAGTGAGAGATATCATTATAAGATGGTGAGTTCAGTAATTATATAGCGTTTCAGTTAACAGTGGGATGTGGGAGGTTACAAATGAAACGAATTACGATTATTGTTTGACAGTAAGTGAGCAAGTTGGGTATAACACAGCTTTGAGGAGTATTTGAGTGATAACGCAGCGTGCCATCGTAATAAAGGGGAGAATATTAACAATATTCCAGCAATACCACGACGGGTGATCTAGGACACCACAAATGGTCAAAACAATATACCCACATGTTGGGACGCTCACGGGCCTTTGGCATGACGAGTGATCACTTCAACAACAAGACTACTCGGGACAAAGGTCTTATCTTCGATAATCCAGTGTATTACATCTCCTTTCTTATATGATTTATACTCTGGATCAATTTGACTCCATATCTTCCTTTAGGAAATGACGTCACCTGCTCAATATCTCTGATCATACTAACTTAGCCCATAATTTCCCTCGCCCATGAAGTCAAGAACCAATCAAATTACTTCTTTGGACGCGAGTTTAGTATAGATATACAATCACAACTGCAGCCTCGTCCGCGCGAGTTCCCGAGAAACCGAATCAGTTTGAAAAAAACGTTCAGCTGGAAAAGATGTTTCCTGTATACAAATGGGTGAGAGAGTTGGGTTTAACGCCGCTATGAACGGTATTCCAGTTATTGTTACGGCATGTCAGCTTGATGTGGGAGGAAATCCCAAAGTAGTGCATGTCTAAGACGTTTACCACTTGGTCGAACCAACTAGGAAGGGTATTGTGCTAAAAAACCTAGAAAACATAATCGGGATATACCAGGATTCCATCCCACAATCATAAGTTGACTCAAGCCTCCACAACGAATTGCGGTCACCCGGGCCCGTAGACATTTACTACTCCGGTGGATGGAGTGGTGGGGGTGGGGGCGGGGTGGTAGCTGGCTAGTGAATCGTGTAAAACATGCAGTGTTAATACAGGTGCTGTACAGGTGGTATCAAGATTGTGTTTACAGTTATACATGCCATCACATCCTTTCCCCGCATCGTCACACTTACCAGCATCTCGCCCTTCTCTCTACGTCCCTTAGCTGCAACGTCACATTTACCAGTAGCACAATTCTCGCTTGAAATCGCTCCCCTGCATCATCACACTCGGCAATAGCACGCCCTTCCCGTCATCTCCCTTCCTCTCATGACCATACTCACAAATAGCACGCCCTTCCGTTCATCTCCCTTCCCGCATCACTGTACTCACCAGAAACACGTCCTTCACCTCCATTCCTGCATCACCATACTCCCCAATATCACATCTTTCCCTTCACCTTCCTTCCCTGCATCATCATACTCCCCAATAGCACGCCCTTCCCTTCACCGACCTTCCTGCATCATCATACTCACCAATAGCACGCCCTTCCCTTCACCTCCTTTCCTGCATCACCATACTCACCAATAGCACGCCCTTCCCTTCACCTCCCTTCCTGCATCACCATACTCACCAATAGCACGCCCTTCCCTTCACCTCCCTTCCTGCATCATCACACTCACCAATAGCACTCCCTTCCCTTCACCTCCCTTCCTGCATCACCATACTCCCCAATATCACACCTTTCCCTTCACCTTCCTTCCCTGCATCATCATACTCACCAATAGCACTCCCTTCCCTTCACCTCCCTTCCTGCATCACCATACTCCCCAATATCACACCTTTCCCTTCACCTTCCTTCCCTGCATCATCATACTCACCAATAGCACGCCCTTCCCTTCACCTCCCTTCCTGCATCACCATACTCCCCAATATCACATCTTTCCCTTCACCTTCCTTCCCGCATCATCATACTCCCCAAAAGCACGCCCTTCCCTTCACCTCCCTTCCTGCATCATCATACTCACCAATAGCACGCCCTTCCCTTCACCTCCCTTCCTGCATCACCATACTCACCAATAGCACGCCCTTCCCTTCACCTCCCTTCCTGCATCATCATACTCACCAATAGCACGCCCTTCCCTTCACCTCCCTTCCTGCATCATCATACTCACCAATAGCACGCCCATCCCTTCACCTCCCTTCCTGCATCACCATACTCACCAATAGCACGCCCTTCCCTTCACCTCCCTTCCTGCATCATCACACTCACCAATAGCACGCCCTTCCCTTACCTCCCTTCCTGCATCACCATACTCACCAATAGCACGCCCTTCCCTTCACCTCCCTTCCTGCATCATCACACTCACCAATAGCACGCCCTTCCCTTCACCTCCCTTCCTGCATCATCATACTCACCAATAGCACGCCCTTCCCTTCACCTCCCTTCCTGCATCACCATACTCACCAATAGCACGCCCTTCCCTTCACCGCCCTTCCTGCATCATCACACTCACCAATAGCACGCCCTTCCCTTCACCTCCCTTCCTGCATCATCACACTCACCAATAGCACGCCCTTCCCTTCACCTCCCTTCCTGCATCACCATACTCACCAATAGCACGCCCTTCCCTTCACCTCCCTTCCTGCATCATCACACTCACCAATAGCACGCCCTTCCCTTCACCGACCTTCCTGCATCATCATACTCACCAATAGCACGCCCTTCCCTTCACCTCCCTTCCTGCATCACCATACTCACCAATAGCACGCCCTTCCCTTCACCTCCCTTCCTGCATCATCACACTCACCAATAGCACGCCCTTCCCTTCACCTCCCTTCCTGCATCATCATACTCACCAATAGCACGCCCTTTCCTCCCTCTGCCTTCCCTTCATATGCAACTTGACCAGTCAGTAAAAATGGTAGCTGTGCAAAAAAAGGAATATTGTGGAATTATTCAAGAGATATTTTTTTTAATCAGTCGTACCCAGTAAGTACATGCTTGCTGTTACACGGTGCACTCAGCGACATCCCATCTATATGAAGCTGGCCTCTACAATATCGAATCTAGACCAGACAAACCCGTGATCGATATTGTGAGCAAAGTCCCACGTCATGAATAACAAGTTACAGGGCAATGAGCACCTGATCCTCGCCTCTCTTATATATGCATACTTCCTTGGTGTGTACATAAATAAATAGTGAGTGAGTGAGTGAGTGTGGTTTTCGCCGCTTTTAACAACATTCCGACAATATCACGACGGGGGACACTAGAAATGGGCTTCACACATTGTAACCATGTGGGGAATCTTCGGTGTGACGAACGAATGCTTTAACCACAGGCTACCCCACCGCCCTACTTAGAAGAGGTCTTCAGCAACCCACGCTTGTCGTAAGAGGCGACTAACGGGAACGGGTAGTTGATGCATGTCATCGTATCTCAATTGCGTGGATGTCGTGGAGTGCGGCGTTAAACAACATAAACAAACAAACAAGATAATAAATAGAAAAATAAAAGTAACTATGATGTAAAAATGCACTTTTTTATATGCGAAGGTCATCAGCGCATGTCATTTAAAATTTTGTGGTTCAGTTATATGTTTTATATACACAGAATTAAGGAGTCTGACTTACCTGCTTAGAATTGCTGTTTGTAACGCAAGCCAACGCTATACAGATGAACAGTAAAAATCTGGACATGATCTGAAGCAATCAATAATATGCCTACAGTAAAATCTGTCTACACGGGACGTAAACGTATGTGGGAACGAAAGTTTCGTCCGGTTGAGACACTGGTCCAGATCAGAGTTGTTATATAATGAGTTCCATCCCTTGTTGCCAAGATATGAACATGCAAGACCGAAGATAATAATACTCTTACAGTCCTCGTTATTGTTTGAAAGATGCATCCCTCTAACGCTTTCATAAACCTGATCGAAAATGTACTTATATGTGCAATATTGAGGATCAGGAAAGAGTAAAATGTACTTGATGAACTCGTAAACCATTCTTTTTTACTCATGCTGTGTGACACATATAAGCATTAGTTTTTGAGAACGTGTTTTTGTTGTACACAGGACCGAGCATATAGGCACCTATGCAATGTAAAGCATAATGAAAGAGTAAACCTATATGGATAAGAGTAATAATATAAATATATATTTTGTTAGACAGAAAATAATTACGTAATGTGATAAATGAACCTACTCGGATATTTCTGAAACATCGAGTACTTTACTAGATCCTATAATTGTAGGTGAAGATGTTTCTGTGGATGATTCTGGAGTGATTGATTTTCATAATGAGATTAGTGATCAAAGGGGCACGTATATATCAGTGAAAACACATTTATCAACCAAATCATCATTTACTAGAGATATATGGTGTTATGGAAGAGGTGTATATGATAAATTAATTTTTTAACAAATGTAAAGATATAGATGAATCTACTGAATGTTTTTACTCAAAATTTAATAATTATATAAACATGTGTGTACCGTCTTAAAAGGTTAGGATTCGACCGAATGATAAACCGTAGTTCAATTCCGAATTACGGAAGGCAATGAGGAAAAGAAACAGGTTACTTAAGATTTCAAGGAAAACAAATAAAGACAAGGGCAGAACATTGTACAGAAAACAAAGAAAAAAGGTAAAAAATATGAAATACTATGCAAAGGAAATGCTCTACTCCAATTTAGACAATTTCGTTTTAGAATTATACTTAGAAAACAAATATTCTTATTGGAAATTGTTGTGATATTTAGTGAAAGGTATGTCACTGACGAAAGCCCAAATATATACTCAGATTTGGATAAAGCTAATCAGTTAAACATTGTCAAGTATTTTTCATCCATTGCAGATGTTGATGGAAGTAAGGCGAGATTGCCAAATGTTGAAAAACGTACAGATAAAACAATTAGCACATTACGAATAAACGTATATGAAATAAGTGATATAATAAAGATTCGGGCCCAGATCGCACAAGTCATAAAATTCTGAAACATACTGTAGCTACATTGAATGAGAAAGCTTAAGTATATGCTCTAGATCTGTCGTAGTGTGTTGAATAAGATTTATGTAATGTTTATTAGACCACTATTTGAATATGCATGTGAAGTTTGGGACGGTTGTATCAAAGAGCAGAGTGACAGATTAGAAAAACTCCAACTGGAAGCAGCAAGACTTGTAACGGGTTAACCAACCTATACTTCCGTCAAAAAATATATTTCGAAACTTCCTGGGAGCCCATATCAGAGCGCAGGAGAAAATTGTGTTATTCTATAAAATGTATAACAATATGACACCTTCATACCTTAAAGATCTTTTACCTCACTCTGTCGGGACAAACATAACATACAACCTTAGAACCGCTCACAATATAACTACGCCTCTATTACGTACTAAGTTATCTGAATCCTCATTTGTACCATCCGCTATCAAATTGTGGAATACATTACCTACTCAGCAAAGGAATATTGAAACATTCCCTCGATTTAAATCCAGTTTAAGAACAGATAGACCTACAGTTCCATCATATTTATCATATGGTTTAAAGAAAATTAACATAATACATACAAAATTAAGATATGATGACAGTGAATTATAAAATGACTTATTTAGAAGAGGTTTAAACGAGGATCCAAAATGCCGATGTGGCAGCCCATGTGAAACTTCATATAATTTTTCACTGAAGGTCCTTTATTTACATCAGCAAACGAATTGATGCACTCACTATTGTTAATTGTGAAAGATACTGATGTAAATATTGACCTGATGCTAGTTGGTAATGCAGTTTTATCTAACCATGTGAACGAAAGCATTTTTAGGAATGTCAAACATATATAAGGAAAACAAAAAGGTTTGAGTGAGCAATGTGAATGTATATACGTTTCTCTATATCTTTTCTTTCCTTTCAGTCATTTGATTTATTAACTGTAAATAAGCATACATGTAAATCTATGGGAGAGGGCGTTCGAAGTAGTGATAACGTGTGCCCAATCCTTTTCACGAGAATAAAATATGTTTAAACTAAACTGATAGGTTTGTCCACCAAAGAGCCGCAGCTCTGCACAACGAGTTGCTATGTCAATATGATGTATTACAGAAGCAGTTATTGCATATACAGAGCGGCAATCACAATAACATTATTAAGAACTTACTCTCTTTACAGCCGAGATCCTGGTCACCTTACAGAAAAAAAGGTTCCGATTCAGGAGGGTATTTGCCGAACTACATCTGTATACTTTCTCTGACTGGCTTTTGAAGAAATATTTACTCAACTTTATGACTCACGGTGTTTTTCAAACGGAAACCATAAAGTAAACGAAACCATAGGGTTTCATCACCCGTAGATCTGACAGAACCTCTATCTATATATCTGTGTGGTCTGTTTTCTAGTATTGTCCCGATAATTTATGAAATATGATTCTATGGCTATTTGCATACAGTCAAGCAAACATTGTTAGTGTCAGAAAACGAAACATGAGAAGGATTCACTTGCGAAGTCAACCACGCGTGACTGAACTGTTTATATCTCGTTCAAGCAATTCATTGAAACACGGGATATATATCTCTACATACTTAACGCATGTCAAACCATGCATGCAGAAATAACCAGAAACCTACACAAACTAAACGAAATTGGTCCCATGAATGTGAACAACATAAAGCTGATATGTTTATACTTGATTTTTTATTGTTTGAACTTGTTGAAAGCTTTTTCTGTTTGTCATTTCGTTACGTATATTGGATGAACATAAAGCTGTTTTCCACGGTCGGTGGGTACATTTATTGTTATCCAGTTGATTAATACAAAGTATTATATTTGATTCAAGCTGTTTTATGAACCCGTAACGTTACCTTCTTTCACCTCAATTCATTTATTCAGAATGAACGGGTACTGTTATTGGAACACTGTTATCTCGAGACGAATAGACAACAAATGCCCGAGTTCACTGCCCGCTCTGTTTGTTTCTTTTCGCAAATGAAATTTTGGCAATATAGAAAACGCCACAAATAAAGATTCGCAAAGCTTAGGCAAGTTGAAATATATTGAACCACTAGTGCTTGCAATGTACTTTTGTACTGCTATGGTTTATGAGATAAACATGCCGTGTTTTCAATGTAGAACAATGTAGGCTTAACCGCATTAAATTTAATTTGAAACCGAAGGAATAATTGCTTAACAGTTACCCGATACTGACGTGTTCATTATCAGTTACAATTGGTATGGGGTAAACAACTAATCAGTTCAAGTTTGCAGTGTTTAGACTTGTAAGCGTATTATTGAACCAAGGGAGCACGATGGTAGGGGCGGACCCATTGACATTAAGGGATATCTGGGAGAAACAAATGATAACAATAATAACAATATTGATAATAATAATGCTTGTATGATAACGCTAAACTCCATTCACCATCCCATATGTCATACATAATGGCGTACCTGTCTCTTACATTAAATCCCTATTTCTCGACAACAGTGGCCTGCTAAATTAACACTTGCCCATTACTCACAGCCAATAAATATTGTTAAAATGGTTACATGATACACGCTTCCTTCATAATTGGTTAGTCAGGAAATGCATATTAACAATAATATCCATCTACAACTCCACAACTTTGTTCAACTGGCTAATGTACTAAAGCAGAGCCCAATCTACTATTCCGACTACAGTAAACTACAGGTATAACGAACTCAAAGGTACTACTTATTTTAGTTCGTTATAACCGTAATTCGTTATAAGCACATATACAGCATAACTACAGCATATAGTCGGGACTAAAAAGTTAGTTCTTTATATCCGTTAGTTCGTTATAAGCGTGTTCGTTATAACCGTAGTTTACTGTATATCATAAGCATCGATCGCGATGATAATGTGCATCAGCATCTGTTGTTAAAATCACTCATACAAAGGCATGTTATCTTCTGACACAATTACCAAGACCACATAGATAATAAAATCCTACTAAAACATTTGTCATATAAATTAAAATGAGTTATAGGGCCCCGATACCTTTGTCTGTTTGTGTCTTCCAAGTACTTTCTTATTGGTCGATCATAAGCTTTATCTGACAGGTAGCGATAGGTATCTACCTGTATTAATTAAGACCGATATATACATCTCATCGCGTCTCTTACGCATTTCCGATTGGTGATCGGCTAGCGCCGTCTTCTGTTGTAAGTTCTACATTACAAAGAGTAATGTAAATAGTTAACCTGCACAGAATACACAACACCAACAAGAGGAAAGATTTACGCTTGTGCTTCGATTTATAAACCTACAGCAGGGAAAGAGAACCATATTCTGGGCCCTCTTCCTCAATGCGATCTTAGCGCTAAGTGAGTGAGTGAGTTAGGTTTGACGCCGCTTTTAACATTATTCCAGTTATATCACGGCATGTCAGCTTCAGTTTGGAGGAAAGCCCGAAGTGATGCAGGTCTCGGACGTTTACCACTTCGGTGAAAACCACGAGCACGGGTATGGTGCTGACAAACCTAGAAACATAATCGGGGCGAACCGGGATTCGAACCCACAATCATAGGTTTCTGTTGTGCCCAAGGGATGCAACTCTGCAAAGCGAATCGCAGCGCCTTAGACGACTGGGCCACCCGTGCCCCCTCTTAGCGCTCAGATGATCGTAACTCCCATACGTTAACATAGGCTTACGATTATCGCAGCGATGATATCGCTTTGTGGGAGGGGGAGCCCTTATACAGAATGATATAATACTCTAAACCACTATCATAAATGATCATAATCATAATCAATCATTCACGGTCAATATTATTTTCTGAACAGGTGTGTCTGACATGAAACAGTCCAGTGATGCAGAGAATGGATTTGAAACGAAAGAGTGTTCCAGTGTTTACCACCTGCGCAGATAACAAAAAAATAAATATACGTTTTAAAATACCCCCCCCAAAAAACAAAAAACAAAAACAACAACAACAACAACAACAACAAACAACAACAACAAAACAACCCCCCAAAAAAAACAAACAAACAAACAAATAAACAAAAACGTTGACTATAGAATCAGTAACTACATTACGCCCTTTTGTTAGCGTAAAACCGAGATATTAGTTTTGAGATGACTGACATTTGAAGGTACTTGGGATTCTCATGAATATTAATAAAATTCTGATAAAGTAAGGTCATAAAACACTTCGTTCCACTGAAATTATTATTTCATTGACTTAGTTGAGAATGTATATGCACTTTTCGATATATAATGATAATTTAATATTTTCGAAAATGACTTTGAATAAGATAAAAACAATAAACTTAACAACACTTACTTCGCATGTAGAACGACGTGACTTGGTGTGCAAGCAAGGATGTCCACTTGCCCCCCTTGATTTACCAGTCATTTTATAGAACCATTGCTCGCCCACATGCACGTGCAGAATGTTTAAGCAATATCTATATTAATGGGCTGATATCCTCCGGATCATATCCGTAATTGCTCAAAACTGTTATAAAGGCATTTATGTATGTGATTAACAACAATATACCTCTTTACAAGGAAACGTCCAAACGAATTAAAAACGGAAAATAAATTGATGAGTCTGTGTCATAATCCAGGTGCATGATGAATGTTACGTTTCGCGAAGAATGGTTGAACGTCTCTATATTTCCTCCCTTTCTTTAATGCTGTGTCTGTCCACCTGGACCACAGAGATTTCACGCACGTTTGTATCCCAAATTAAAGGTACATTGCATTAAGTCGATAACCCTTCCGGTAGTCCATGGTATAATTGTAATATATATCTGTCATAACGATAAAACCGTGTTTATTGCTTTTTGTGATTTTTCAGTATGAAGTTGCTGCATGTACTGTTGTTCCTGGTGTCAGATTGTCACGTACATTTATGTCAGTGTAGTCGGAACGAAAGAGTGTGCCGTCACATTGTCATTTAAATGCATGGCTGTGACGTTAGAATGTCATGTAAATGCATGTCTGATAGGTCAGAATGTCATGTAAACGCATGTTTGTGTTGTCGAAATGTCACGTAAACGCATGTCAGTAACGTCAGAATACCATGTAAATGCATGTCTTTTTTAACAATGTAAAACATAAACCTGCAGACAAAGTGCAGAACTATCGTGGGGTGAGAATGTTCTGTAAACATTTATCCTTGTTGGCAGAATGGGACTAAACGCCATATCAGTGTTGTCATCACGTCATATAGAATCACATCCTTGATGTCATGGGTGTTGTATTGTAACTTATTTTTATCATAATGTCAGATTGAAATATATCCTTGTCGTTTAACTTTCATTTTGAATTACAAGACCGCCTCCGTGGTCTGGTGGTAGAGCGTCCGCCCAGAGAGCAGAAGGTCCGGGGTTCGATCCCCGGCCGCGTCATACCAAAAGACGTTAAAGATGGTACTTGTTGTTACCCTGTCTGGCGCTCGGCATTAAGGGGCTAAAACAAGGACTGGTCAGTATACTGTGTCTGAGTGGGGTATTCATGTTAAACTGCAGCATGGTATCTCAGTGAGCTAGCACTATAAATCGGTATCAATCCGGACTTGTACAAGCAGCCACACAAACACACGTGCATGCACGTCACTATATAAGTGCAATAATCTTGGACGCGACGTTAAACCCAATATCACCTCACCTCATATTGAAACATATCCTTGGCGTTAAAATATCATATGGAAGCATATCTTTGTACTGATTGTCATATGAAAACATATCTTTGTCACTATGTCATGTAGAAGCATATAGTTGTTGTCAGAATATCACATCGAAACATATCGTGTCATTAAAATGCATATATATATATAAATTCATTATAAACTTCAGTGTGAAAGACTGAGTTGTCCGACGTTGAGAAAAGTGATATTGTCATTGCAGTGAACATAACACTTGATATTTCACTACTGTGAACATTACACTTTAACGGAACTTTTGTCAAACAAGAGTAACCTCAGCTCAAATTGTCTCCCTTTATCCTAAGTGTCTGGACGATACACAATCCATTGACTACCTTTTTACGTCAGTTCCACCGTGACACAGCAAAATAATGACAGATAGTCATTTATGGAGTTAATATCGCTTCATGCCTTTTGTCATTCTCTCGAAAATGTTTCGTTATGAACTGTAAATTTCTCATTTAACTCATCAATCGAGACCGTTCGTTTCGCATAGCGCCATTTTTGCTACTTGACCAGCGTGTATTATTTCGCTTTAAACAGTTGTCTCGTAGTTTGTAAGAATATTTTTTTAAAGCGGATTTTGTAAAGAATCTGTTTGCAT